CATTTATCCATCTCTTCCCAAAGTTGGCCTTTGGGGCCATTAAAATCTGTCATTTAAAATATCTCTTTCCCAAAAACTAAAGTTCTTGAAATGTGTTTTTCTTTTTCAGGGAGGGGCTTTTTATTTCATGGAGCATGTAGCAGCTGAACGCTCCACCTGGAATTACTTCTGGCAACAAGTCCTGAATCCAGCCTGGTTCCTTCTGTTTGATGGGTGCAACCTGACCAGAGAAAGCTGGAAGACTCTGGAGAGGGCGGGTTTCTCTAAGCTGAAGCTGCAACACTTAGAGGCCCCTCTGTCGTGGGAGCTGGTGCGCCCTCACATCTACGGCTATGCTGTGAAATAGGCTGAAGGGGGATGAGAGCGGTAAATGGCTCAAGTTGTGACCAAACTTAGCCATTTTCTCCAGAGAATCAAAACCAAGCCCAAACAAAATTCACCTTTGAACTATCCCTTAAAAAGAATTTCCTATTTAAAGTCTGCCATTATCAAATTTACACTTCAAAAACATTCCAACCTATTTTACTTAATTGTTACCTAAAAACCGCTTAGTTTTACCCCCTCTCTGAGAGTTTGGTGCTAATAGACAGTTAAGGCACTCAAAAGACTGACAGGAGAGAACTGAAAAAGATTTTTCACACATTGAATAAAGAAATTCTAGTCAGAAGTCCAAATCTAAATAGCACAGGCTTTAAAAAAAAAAAAAAAAAGATATCTGAATTAATGTGTTCACCTTAGTGTCACTGGCTGGCTTTCAAAATTAATGGACCCGGAGGACACACCTCGTGCTCTGCTTTGTTACATGGATTATTTCAGTGTTCTGCTAGTTTGTTCTTCTGCATTCCATCTTAGTCCTTAAGATAAACAATGACAAAACTATTTGAGGCAGTTAAGATTCTTGGGTTCATTTTCCTTGTTACTACTGAGCATGTACTTTGCTGGCCATAGTGGACTGAGAACAAGGACGGGTCAACCTTAGGACAATCTCCTGGAATTAGGTGCACCAGGTAAGCCTGCAGAGCAGTAAACGATATTTTTTTTTCTTTATTATTCTAGTCAAGTTTACATTCCTGTCCCAAGATGATTTTTTTTTTAACTCCTTGCAACTACAGAAGCTTCTGAAAATATCACAGTTGCTTAATAGGAAGTGTTGGGTTGGCCAGTCATAAGATTTAAGAACAAGTTTTCAGCAAAAGTTTATATTTTAATATGTTTGGTTTATTTTCTGAGTTTTTTGAAAAGGGACTATTTTAAATTTCAAATCATTCAAAACAGACCTTTTAGGAGTGGAATTAAAATTAATGTTCATATCTCGGTTGGCTTGGCTTCTTTCTTTCTTAGTGTCTCTGGGAAGGTTTTCCTTCATTGTGGGAAATTAAACTTTAAATGTACAGATTTTTTTCCCACTACCAGATAACAATAAACAAAGCTAGATTTTAGAAAAAAAAGTTTGAAAAGTAACAATCCAAAGATCCCATTTGTGAACTGTTTGGAGCAAAAAGAAAAGCAGTTTTAACTCTTGAACATGAAAACAGTCACTGTTACAGAAATTAAGACACTTATCTCAGGCTTTCTGAACTCTGGAACAAACTTAGTTCTTTCTCCTAATGCTCCCAGAGTAGGACACTCCTTAGCTTCCCCATTCCCTGCGGGATTTGGTGACTGAGAAGTCTTGAAAGCCCTGTAGGGACATGGCAAAATGTCACTGCCTCGTTGGAAGGAAAATAGAAACCTACAGAATACTGGTCACATCGTTACCAAGTCCCCGGTGCCTACGTGGGATGACAAGTAGCATCCTCATTTCCTATTGTGTACCACAATAAGTCAAGTTTTTTACATTCCATGAGTTACTAAGGACGTCTTCGAAGGCCTGATTCCCCAGATCACAAAAGCTGTTTTAATAATCACTGCTTTCCTCCTCGGGTTCAGAAAACACCATACCAAGAATCTGAAAAGTGACTAAATTTATGCAAAGTGGAACAAACATGTCCAAATCCCTTAGGACTTGCTGTTCTTAAGCTTCCTTTTATTGCAACTAACAGCAATTCCAGCTGAAAAGTCTTAAGCTAAAGAAGCATTTTATTGACTCCAGTTAGTGAAAAGCATTGGGACAGAAAACCGCAGGCACAGCCTGCACAGAGCTCAGGTAACATTAGGAGCCAGACAGTGCAGGGTGAGCCTCACTGCCTCTGATGCCTTTGATGAGTCCGTTGAAGTTGTGCCAGTCTTTATGCTTCTGGGGTCCAGAGTTGGTTGGAAAGATCAAGCCTACTTCTACAAAAGTCAGACCAATACTCCAGACTGAGTCTCTGCTGGCTCTTACTGACAGTGCTGAGTCACAAGCACCTCCCTGAGCCAGTGCTGGGATTGGATTTTGTTGACTGGCTCAAGTATCAGCCACCATGCTTCACCCCTGGACATATCCAGACCATGTGGACTGAGGCAAGGAGAGCAGCAGATACTCCAAATGAAAACAGGCCTGGGCCCTCCCTGCTGGCACAACAGGTTAAGGCACAGCATTGTGAAGCTCTCCAAAGTCACTGCAGCATTAGTTCAGTCCCGGGCTTGAGGTGACCCACATAGACTGGCAGACCCCTCCTGCCACCCCGCTGCTCCCCTCAGCAGTGGACTTCATCAATCTGCCTGTTCTGCTCCCCACTCTGTCTCTGGTGAATCCTCTCCTGGCCCCTGCACCTCTGGCCTGCACCCAACTCTGCATGCATAAATAAGTCTAAAAAAAAAAAAACAGGCCAGGGCCTGGGACAGTGGGAATAGAGCTGGGAAGGCCTCCAACCAAGCCCATTATCACGGCACTGCTGTGTTTTGACCAGCACTCTGTGTGCTTTCCTGTCGTTGGTGCCGAGACAAATTTCAAATGGGTGTGTGGACAGATTTCCCCACGCCAAAAAGCAGGATGACTGAGAATTCAACTCACTTCTGACCCGACCTAGATTCTGTAGATTAAGGGCTCAGTCTCCCAAGACTCTCTCCATCCCACTTGTCAGATACAAGCCCCAGGCTTCAAACTGGAGTTTCTCTACCAGCCTGGAAGGCCTGTGGCAAAAGCCAGATTATCAACTGTGCTGCTGGCAGCTAGTGGCTATCAACCAGGTTCCCAGACTCCCACCTCCACTTTGTTAGAACAGCACACAGGGCTCAGGAAGGCCCTTTAGTCACCAGGTCACTGACTTACCTCAAAGGATATTGTTGCCATCGTTTCAGGTCTAGTCTGCCAGCCACAAACCCATCTCAGGCAGCGCTGAGTCCGGCCACTAGACCACCTCGGTTGGTGTCTCACGAAGCCACAGCAGGAAATTTGCAGACTCTCAGACAAGCAAATGAATAGTGGCAGTGTTAGAGAACATTTATTAAGGAGAAAAGAAACAAAAATTAGGACTCCCAGGAACCAGGAACCAGGGAGGAGCAAAGACATGCAATAGAGCCTGGAGCAGTGCCTCCGGGAAGACACCTTCCCTGAGTTATTCTAAAGGACCATCAGTCTCTGTGTGATTGGCTAGTGCTTACTGGTCTCAGCACTCAGCCTCTGCGCCCAAAATCAGCCTTAGAGTCCCTTTGTCTTTATTGCTCTAGTCCAGAATATCCCATTAGTCTTTCACTGCCCTGAGCCCAGGAAGTGTCTGCTTCACCCCCTTTAGGGTTTGCTGCCCCTTCTCTGGAGCCTCCCCTATCACTCCAAGGCTTTCCCTACGCTATTCTAACCCTAGAATCCATCTGCTTGCCCTAAAACTCAAGAGTGGAAGAGGGTGGGAGAGAAGCTCAGGACAAGGTATGGGGGAAAGGAGCTTCTGTGCCCTCGCCAGGTCCACCACTGTCCCCAAATCTCTGAACTGGAATCTCTCCTCTTGGGTTTTTATAAAGGTTTCATGACACAGGCTTAGAGGTTAAACTCACAGGCCACTGAACACAATACTCAGCTGCTCTCCCCTCCCGGAGGTCAGGTTCTGGGACTGAAAGTGCCAGTTGGTCGCCCTGGCAACGAGGAGGCCCCTCTTCACCCTCAGGTCATTTTATCAACATAACAAGAAGCACTCTTAACATTCTCAATACTGAGAAATTTCCAAGGCTTTGGGAGCTGTGAGCCAGGACTTCTGGAAGAAGACCAAATATGTAAGAGAAACACCACATTTCCTGTGGGAGATCACACAGGAACATCAATGCTCAGAACTCACCCGTCCTGGGCCCGCATTAAAAAAAAATGGAAACAACAAATGCTGGCAGGGATATGGAGAAAAAGGCCCCACTCACAATTGCTGGTGTTCCACAGCCTGATCCAGCCATTATGGAAAGCTGTGTGAAGGTTCCTCAGGACATTAAAAATGGATCTACCATATGGTCCAGGGATTTGCGTGCCAAAGAACACAAAAATACTGATTCGAAAGGAAACTTGCACTGCTGTGTTACTGCAGTACTATTTATAATAGCAATAATATGGAAACAACCTAAATGCCCCCAAAGAAGACTAATGGATGAAAAAGTTGTGGTGTGGATACACAGTGGAATATTACTCAGCAAGCAAAAAGATAAACTTGTGATATTTGCAACAACATGGATGAAGCAAGAAGGGATTATGATCTCACTTAAATGCAAAATATGGAGAAACCAAACAAAACCAAGAAAAAAGACAAACTTGCAAGCTGACCAGAGAGAGGTGGGTAGAAGGATGAGCACAGGGCCTATGGTGATGTTGGGGGAAAGAGTGTCCTGAATACTCCACAAACAGGTTTTCATGGACCTCACCCTAAGCCCGGTTCACAGTGACCCAGGACACCAAGGACTACAAATCCCATAATGTTGTCAGCACCAAACAGAGGATTGCTGGGAACCAGGAAGGAGTTAAACAACCAGGTTTGGTATATAACCAGCCATGTGGGCCTTGGATTTTCCACAGGCTTTCTATGTGCTATTGCCGTTCCAGGTCAGTGAAACTTGTAGGACGCATTCACCAATTTCTCTTTCTCCTGAGTGAACCATTTCCCCTTTTTGTAAGTACACTGAATACACCCTTTATTAACGTTTTTGTTTTTACATCATTCTTCATTTTGTGCATTTTTTCATCTCAGTAGCAACCCCCCTGGGCTTTCCACCTCCACTTCACCTGTGTGTCATCACCATTGTCCAGTGCAGTCTTCCCACCCCAGTTCTAATCCCCTTCCCCCTCCCACCCCCATAAAGTGTCTCTGGTTTATAGTTGTTCATTGTTTTCATTTTTACTCTATTACATTTGTTTGTCTCTCTCCTCCCCCCCTCCCCACTTCCCCCAATCCTTTACGCTCTTGCTAAGAATGAAACCACCCAGTATTTTTCCTTTTCTTTCTGGCTTATTTCACTAAGCATGATCCCTTCCAGCTCCATCCACGTTGCTGCAAAAGGCATGAGCTAATTTTTTTTGATTGCTGAGTAATATTCCATCGTGTATATGTACCACATCTTTTTAATCCAGTTATCTACTTTTGGGCATTTAGGCTGTTTCCACTTCTTCTCTATTGTAAATAAAGCAGCAGTAAACATGGGGGTGCAGGTGTCCTTTGAATCAATGTTTCTGTGGCCTTTGGATATATACCTGGGAGTGGGACTGCTGGGTCATATGGAAAGCTCTATTTTCAGCCTTTTGAGAAACCTCCAAACAGCTTTATTAACTTTTTTGTGTTTGCCTGCAGGTGAGTCTCCTTAT